TATATTTAAAACTATTAGAAATGCTGGAGGCGAAGCGGGGTTTGGGGTGGAGGCTGACAGCTTCCAACCCCCCAGGTAATAAGCTTGCAACCCCTTGAGGGTTCACGGCCCCCAGTTTGAGAACCCTGGTATAGAACTTGCACATTACAGCAGCTTCTACTGCCTTTTGGAACCTGACTATACCTCACTTGTGTGCGTCTGTTACCTGCTTTCACCTAGTGAATAACTCTCAGTTCTTTTCCCTACTTAATAAATCTTTAGTTAGTATAACAGGATTGGCTACAAGCATTGTCTGTGGTTTGAGATCTGAGGTACAATTGACCGGGGGTAAGTGACTAGTCCATTGGGTGAGGGAGTAACCTGAATACTGCTGTGATTCTTGGTGTAAGGGCCCATCTATCACAAAGGCCGGCTTGCCTGGGTGGCAAGCTAGACCCAGGTGCAGCCAAGGACTGTCTGTGACTCCATGGTAAGGCTGTTATAGTGCTTTAGGAATTCACGCTTGTTACTTGGTGAAATCTTTACAGAGCACAGAGCCTGTTTGGGGTTCGTGCCCTGGTTTGTACAGTCTGCCCTGACGTTGGCACACACGTTCGTGAGCCACTCCAGGCAGCTTGGCAGCCCCATGACCCTGCTCCTCATGCAGCCATCAGCACCGGTGCAGAGTGGGTGAGGTGCCCCCACCCGGGCAGGCAGCATGTCCTGCCCACTCCACACTGGGGCTGCTGCAGGGCGGTGGGGATCAGGCCCCAGCTGCCAAGAGACAACAGCAGCACCAGCTCAGAGCACCTGCTACCTGCTTATCTTGGGTTAGCGCTGAAGGTGGTATTGGTGACCCCTTTCACACAGCAAGCCTATCAGTGCAATCCCCCCTTATAAATTAACCTGGTCCCATCCTGGGAGAGTTCCACTTACCTGAGCTATCAACTGGCATGGAGATGCAGCGGCTCAGCAGTGGCACTGCAGAGGGCTCCAGGGACCCCAGCTTGAGCTGATCAGCTGTGAGGGTGACACACACATCCCGTTACACTGGCACAGTGAGCACACGGAGTCCAGAGCCTCCCCTGCCCTGGGTCGGACCCTGTAGCCAGGCCACCTCCAGGGGCAGGATTGGTGACAAGAGCCACTCCACAGCTGTCATGGCATATGGAAGGTGTGGACCAGTTCCATGCAAGGGGAGTGCCCGGGCCTCCACCCCGCTCCCTGCAGCACAGCACCCTGTACTGAGCCCTTCTGCACCCTTGACTTCTTTCACCCCTGTCCGGTCCATGCCCAGCTCAGTTGCTCTGAGGGGGAGCACAGCTGCTGCGTTCCCCTCCCTGAGCCGGGCAACCCTTACCCAGATCCTTGGCGCTGGCATCTGGCTGCCTCCAGAGCTCTCCTTGTGGTGGTTGATGGAGGAGACGCTGATGACGTGCTTGCTGTGTCTGACAGGGCTGGTGCGCGAGGCATGGCTGGGCTGGGGGAAGAGCCGCAGTGGCTGCATCTCCTCCATGACACAGCTGGCATCAGCACCAGGCCAGGCTGGGCAGTGCCAGCCTGGGGACCAGCCACACCCACCACTCAAGGCCAATAGAGGCCATTCAGAGCATCTCGTCGGACCTCCCCCATCACGCAGGGGGCAACACCTCCCCCAGCGAGTCCTGCCCCCACCCCAGAGCAGAGCTGAGGCAGAGGGACGGGGACGGGCACAGGGACGGGGACGGGCACAGGGATGGCTTGGCTCCCCTCACTTGGCTGATGGCCCAGGAGGGAACATGCTCCACGCCAGCAGCCGCATGGCTTGTGTGGGGGAGACCCGTGTCCACCGAGCAACATAACGCGGGAGGGGCCAGATGTGCCACTGTAGACAAGGAGAGCGCAGAGCCCAGCTGAGCCCAGAGCGCCAGGTGCTGCCGCCACATGACTGCCCCGCAAAGCTTGCTCTCGGCTGCTGGCTTCCTGGCAGCTGGGGTAGGGTTACCATATTTCAGCAAGCAAAAAAGAGGACGGGAGGAGCCCCGCCCCCGTCCTGCCCTAGCCCCGCCACTGCCCCTCCCACTTCCCGCCCCCCTCAGAACCCCCAACCCTCCCCCCCCGCTCCTTGTCCCCTGACTGCCCCCTCCTGGGACCCCTGCTCCTAACTGCCCTCCAGAACCCCACCCCCTACCTAAGCCTCCCTGTTCCTTATCCCCTAACTGCCCCCTCCTAAGACCCCCCGCAACTGCCCCCCAGGACCCTACCCCCTACCTGTACCCTGACTGCCCAAAACCTT